CACAACCGGCCGCTGCTGTGGAGGACATGTTCTTAAGCACTCAAATGCAGACACCGTTCGGCAGTTCACAGAATATATACCAACGACTCGTCCGACGAATGACGCGATTCTTCACAAACACCGACTCGAAGACCACTGAAAGGCGACTGAAACGGGTTTTCGAGAAAAGGAATTATAATTATAAGACTTCAACGACAGGACAGGTATTGTCTACGAGTGGGAAGTGTTGACTGAGATTATGATTAACTCATTGTTTGGTATTTCTATCGATTTAGTTAACGGTTACGACGAAAGACAAGCGGAGAATGCCTTTAGTGTTCAGCGCATCGGTTATTGACATGAATTCGTGCCAAATATTAGTTGACTTCAGACTCACAAAAGTCAGTGAAATGTTTGAATTGAAAAGTGTTTTGATTTTTAATAAATTGTTTTTCACTGAAAGGGCGACGGAATTGAATTCAAACGACATTTCGTTAGTATTCGTAATGATCTCAAGGATATGATAGTGAAGGGACCGATCACTTGGCCCCTGGCCTTCGCCACCAACTCATTGCCCTGACATTTGGCACCAATTAGTGACACTTTAGCCGATAAATAGGTTTCAAATTATGTTTTAATTAATTGTTTTAAATGTTATTTTAAGTCCGAATTATGTGAACCAAAATTTGCCAAAATATTGTTTTGATTATAAAAATGCAATAAATTTTTACATTTAAATAAAAACTAATCATTCGCTTAAAGATTTACTAAATTTTATTTGAATTAAAATTATAGTTCATATGAAATACAAAACAAATGAGTCGGACATCAACTTTTGCTTTGATTATCCCTTCTCCACATATTTGCCATGAATTGTGGTCTTCGAGTGGAAGTGTTGTCTCCAGAAGTAGATATCATTCCCGAAGACATTTATTAGTGTTTGATTTTTACTCGTACTTCACTTCTAGTGTCATTGAAATGAGTTTTAATTGTAAAAATTTGCTTTAATTTCTTCTTTAGTTTTGATTATTTCTCAAAATTGTTATAAGATTTGTGATAAAACATGAATTTT